CCCCCCCAGTCCCCAAGTCAGCCAATCACAACACCGTGAATTCCTCAGGGAGATGCCAGCCTCATCCTCCTGTAGTTCCCACGCTCCTGCGGCAAGCTAAGAAAATGCTTATCTCCCTGAGCCTGGCCTTCATAATTCCATTCCATCACAGTTAAGGAGTATAATACAGATTAACATGATGTCCTGATTCACACAACATGCCAAGACAAATGGTGGGTTCCACAACATGCTGAACCACAAATTACCCACCTCTGATGTAGTCTAGTCTAGTGCTATGCAAATTCAGCCATATAGTCTTTCTCAATTATCTGTCTTGAAAGATGCTAGTACATTCCCAGCTAGTAGGGAAATAGGATTACCCTTTGCCAAGCTTGAGAATTTGAACCCTGAACCTCAGTTTTATTTATCTAACCTGGAATAATGTTGGTTTCTGTAAGCATGTGTAGAATTCCTTCACTCCTCTTATTAAATTCCATCACAAAAAGACTTGAGGTTAAACCCAACTCCCTTAATCCTATGAAAGTTAAAGGAATTGGGTAAGTTTAGCCTAAAGAAGAGAAGGCTCAGGGGAGACGTGAAATACTTGAACGGCTAGCAAGGGAAGATGTCCATAGCTCCTGAGAGAAGGATAAGAACCTACAGAAGTACAGTAGATCCAAACTTGAAATAAGGAGGAATGAGAGCTATTAAGTGGTGGAACAGCCTGCCTCCTAGAGTTGTTGGGACTCAATCTCTGGAGGTTTTCGAGCAAAGGTTGGACAGCCATTTGTCTGGGATGGTGTGAAGATTCCTGCCCTGGGCAGTGGTTGGACTAGAACAGCGTTTCTCAACCATGACAGCTTGAAGATGTGTGGACTTCAAGTCCACACATCTCCAAGCTGCCAAGGTTGAGAACACCGGACTAGAAGGTCTCCAAGGTCCCTTTCAGCTCTGTGATTCTGAGACCAGAGCTGTGTGACTCCGAAACTATGGAAATCCAAGGAAAGCCTAAGCTCGACATCTGTTTTTACAGAATTAGACAGGGGACTGTTTTATTTTTCTTCTTCAATTTTGTATTGTTTTTATTCTTTAAAAAAATGCCTTAATAAAAATCCACACAAGGATTACCAGAACAGCAAGAAACCAATGGTTCTTTGCTATCAACTAATCTGGAGTAAAATTTGCGTGGGAGGCATCACAACAGAAGGAGTCACAAGGGGACATGGGGAGATGGGCTTCACAGGTGTCGGTGGGCTAGGCTGCTGAGAAAACACTGGGTGGGTAGGGTCTGATACAACCCTAATCCTAACCCTTGCTGGTTAAACTAGGAAAGACTACCCAAGCCCTAACCCTCCCCCTACCTCCTCCATTTCCTCTTTCAGCTCCTTAGCTGGGCAGTTGGACACTTCAATAGGTAGAGGAGCAAGTGGAAATCCAACAGGTGAGACTTTCCTCCCTACCCCAGGATGGAGATGTGAGGGAGAGGAGTCTGGCAGCTGCTTAATTTCTACTGTCATGCAGCTGCTGTTAAAACTATTGTATAGGGAGACCAAAGAAACAGGGTGGGTGAGTAGGGGGTGATGGGGAGAATTGAGGCTGGTGGCATCTCAGTTTTCACCCGCTGCTGCTGTGGAGGAAGAGGAGATGGAAACGATGGAGGTGAACCTCTTCTTCCCTTCTCTTTAGGAATAACCCGCCCCCTTCCTTCCAACCTGGTTCCCTGGCAACCGAAACATGCGTCACTGGAGACCCCTGGATCGAAGGAGGGAGAGCGAGGGGAAGAAAGGAATCCCTAGAAGAAAAGGGAAGCGGGGGACACCCCCAGCCCAGCGCAGCTTTGTCTGCCTGCACCGGTTCCGGGCGCTCCCCGAGGGCGCATCGACCCCTCCGGCTCCCTCAAAAAAAGCGCTGCCTTCGCTTCAG